TTTGGCAACCGGATGCAAGGGCTCCCGCAAGCAGACCGAGGCAAAAGCTGGAGGAGCGCACAGCCGAAACATGGTAAGAATTCGCGGATCAAGACCATTCGCCCCTTCGCCGAGGAGCCGAGGTCCCACCGAGATACCCATAACGAACAACCTTCCGAGATGGAACGCCCACACCTGGAAGACTTAAGGGTACCCCTCCAGAACTAAGACTGTGCTGAACCCTCGTGCCAGCTGCACCTGCTGGCAATGACATCTGATACGTGGAAGCCAGCCCGACCACGGATACAACAAAACCGAAAACCGACCAGACCGACAACAACACCGATACCGACTGACACCGCCAGGCATCGCACGACACCCGCAAGCGAAGGGGCACCGACGAACAACTGAAACGAAACCGAAGCTGAAATGGGCACCGAACGTGCCAACCATAATACAGCACATATCTACGGCAGGCGGCGCCAAGCGCAGCCTGGACAAGACAACGCGCAAACCTAGGGAGCGGGGCGCGCAAAACTTGTCAGAACTGGCAAACTGGAAGAGCGGTAGAACCTCCAAATATTAAGTTCTGGCGAATTATCCGCGGTCGTCTTTGTCTTTTATATTTGCTGACAGCCAATGTTTTCAAGCCAGATTTGGCAAGCCCGCCCGATCCCCCGCATTCGGACGGCCTCGGGGCAGAACAACACATGTCGGAGCTGGCATCTTGTAACTGCGGCCAACCAACCAATCTCAATTTCTGGTATGTTTCGCACCTGCCGTCATCGCCACATCATTATCACATGGAAACTGCCGCTGTTATAGCCAGTGTTGGCCAGGGTGTTGTATTATAACGAGCGCGATACCGGTATCACATACAAGATATTGTTGAGCTCGCTTCGCTTCGCCACAACATCTTGGCCCTCATCCTTTTTCTTTGGGCAGGAGCGCGGATGTCGCACCACACCACGGTATATGAACGACAGAACGTGGTGTACTCGTGAACTTGATGGTTTTAGGGTGTTTTTTCATGTGTGCCGTGAACTAGACGGTTTGATCACCAGGTCGACGCTCGAGAAAAAGTATTCACCAAAATTCCCACGGCGGCGACGACAAATACAAAAAACACTATGCAGGGGGGGTCCCAAATCTGGCGGCCAATGCCCCAGACCCTAAGTAAGTGTTACAAAAAATTGGCGGCGGCCGCGGGGATGAGGATGAGGATGCGGAGGACCAGGAACAGTAGTGAGAGACAGGAGGAATGAGAAGGATGAGAATGGGAGGTGGTGGGGAGGAGGATCAAGCGGTGGAGCGTGGAGGATTTCTAAGCAGGTGCGGGAGGAGTGAATCAGAGGAGGCAGGGACGAAGAGGCGATGGGAGGGGAAGAGAGGGCATGGGGAGGAGGGGAGGGGAGGGGAAGGGAACGGGGAGGGGAGGGGATCGGAGGGGGCCGAAAGAGGGATGGAAGGAGACGGTCCTGTGAAGGGCTGCCTTGGGCCGTCCTGGAGGCCTCGGAGGCCCCATGGATTACCGGAGCTGCGGGAAGTTCGATTTTGCCTGCCCAGGGTTACATGTTGCTGTCGTCCCACCGTCCACAACAGACATCGGGTGCATTATCGAAAGCTGGAGACGGTCCTGTGGAGGGCTGCCTTGAGCCATCCTGAGGCCTCCGAGGCCCCATCGTTCCCCAGGCTGCGAAAGGGTCGGTTTATTCCTACCCAGGGTGATATAGTCAGCGCATACACATGATTGCGATTTTTCTCTGCACATGCTGTTCCTTCGTTTGCCGTCCTTGGGTCCTGGGTTACCACGCTCCCTTCATCGTCGCCATGGCAGATGGATAGGCGCTTGCTCGTGATATTGATGGGGGCGTTGTCTGGTAGGCTTTCAGGAAAGCAGTTGGCGAGGCAGCCAACAAGGCAGCCAACGAAGCAGCCTACGAGGCACCCAGCGAGGCGGCCAACGAGGCCTCCGACGAGGCAGCCCGCGGGGCAGCCAAAAAAACAGCCGTCGAGGCAACTGGCGAAGCAGCCAGCGAGGCGGCCAACGAGGTAGCCCACGAGGCACGAGGCAGCCAACGAGGTAGCCCACGAGGCAGCCAGCCAGGCAGCGAGGCGGTCGACAGGGCAGCCAGCAAGGCGAACCAACGAGGCCACCGACACAGCACCCGGCAAGGCAACCAACGAGGCAGCCAACGAGACAACCAACGAGGCAGCCAACGAGACAGCCAACAAAGCAGCCAACGAGGCAGCCATCGAGGCAGCCAGCAAGGCAGCCAACAGGCAGCCGAGCAGGCAGGCCACCAGGAACCAGGCAGCCAACGATACAGCCACAGGGCAGCCGACGAAGCAGCAGCGAGGGGGGATCCCAAAATGGATCCCCCTTGCGCACCTGCGCGCGCATGTCGCGCAGATCTAGACCATTTTCACGGACAGAAGCCACCCGAACCTATGGCGCTACTAATGGAAAAAAGGGCATCCGAGATATAGGATGCCCTCGCTCACTGGACTGCATCCATTTTCAGGATGCCCCCGTTGGAAGGATGACCGCAGCGCTTTCTGGACCGAGCGCATTTGGCCCGTCGTTGTCTCCACAGCCGGAGAATGTCGCCGAAATCCTTCACTCATGTATCTGCCGACGAGCACGTCGCAATGCGCCGCTTGCATGACAGCGGCATGGGCGTCAAGAGGATCGCCGCGGCCTTGAGCCGCTCCACGGACACCGTCTCGAAGCATTTGTTCAAAAAGAACACGACCAAGAAGTCCAAGGGCCGCCCGAAGCATTCCATCCGCACCCCCAAAGGGTTTCTCGCTGCCCAGCGCGCTTACAAGAAGCTTCTGAAGTCCTCGGGCGGCACAGAGGAAGTGACGGCAGCCATGCTGAAGTCCGAGATGAAGTTGAAATGCGACATCAAGACAGTGCGCCGCGCGTTTGCTGAGAATGGCTACCAGTTCCGCCCGCTGTACGAGAAGCCTGACCTTTCTGATGGGGACAAGAAGGAGCGCCTGCAGTGGGCCCGCGAGCACAAGCACCGGAGCCCCAGCCAGTGGTCACAGTACGTCCACGCGTGCATGGACAACAAGGTGTTCCAGGTGCTGCCCAATGCGAAGTACAGGAAGGTGGCGGCAAAGCGCAAGGTTCGCGGGGTGTACAGGAAGCGCAAGCGGGACTTCTCCGTGGGCCACGTCAAGCCGAGCAACCCTAAGGTTCTCGGGCTGGCGCAAATCGGAGACCGCGCCGCGGCCACTCAGCGCCAGGCCAGTGGCCGACGGCGCGCTCTGATTTGGCTCGCCCCCAGGTTCTGAAGCAGAGTTCGGGCAAGGGCTCCGTGACCATCGCGTGCGCCATCGGCGCGGGCAAGGTGTTGATGTGGCACCAGGTGGTCGGCAGGTGGAACGCCGCAGCCGCGGGGCGAATGTACTCGGGGGCGCTCCAGCCCGCTTTGAAGAGGGCCTACCCTTCCGTGCGCGGCAAGTTCCGCGTCATGGAAGACAACGACCCCACGGGCTACAAATCTCGCTCGGGCATGGCGGCGAAGAAGTCCGCTGGCATCCAGACGTTGGACTTGCCGAAGCGGTCCCCTGATCTGATGCCGCTTGATTTCGCCTTCTGGGCCAATCTGAACAAGCGCATGAGGGGGCAGGAGAAGGACTGGCCCGCGAGCAAGACGGAGACGCGGGCGCAGTACCTGGCCCGGCTGCGCCGCACGGCGTTGGCGACGCCTTCTGAGTACATCCACAGCATCATGGGCAGCCTGCACAAGCGCTGCGGCTTGTTGGTCGAGGCGAAGGGCGGCCACTTCGCCGAGGGCGGTGGGAACTGAGCGCGCGCGCGGTTTCGTCGGGCGGCCGCGGCGCGATTCGCGGCGGGCCAGGGCGGCGGGCGACCGCGGCGCAGACCGCAGCGGGCCGGGGCGGCGGGCGGCCCGTAGCGGCCCGCGCCTCGGTTGACCCGCGCGAGCGACGTGGGGCGCGGGAAGGGAGCCAGTCGCGGTCCACGATCAAGACCAATCCGTGCGTCCACCGCCCTTGCGGCTACAGGGCCAGCAGACGTAGTCGAAAGTACCTGATCTTGGCATTATGATTCTGTCCGCCGAGGCCCCCCAGGCGCCAGCGCCCTGGCGGCCCCAGAGAGCCCTCGCACGAGACATGCAGCAAAAAAACATAGTGAACCAACAGTGAACCAACAGTGAACCAACAGTGAACCTTCGTAAAAACCATAGTGAACCTCGAATTCTATTAAAAAAGAGTAGGGAAGTTCTTTTTTAATAAATAATCAATCTCCGCACAGCTTCTCACGCACATCCCTCCCACCACCCAGGCAAGAACCTTTTTGTCTCCAGATGCTGGGTGGTTGCGCGCTCAGTCTCGCGTGCTTGAGGCCGCGGCGGCGGGTGGCGAGAGGGCAGCCGTCGCCGCCACACTCGCACCTCCCCCCTTAACACCCTGTCCCAGAGGCCCCTAGGGCAGCCGTCGCCGCCGCAAGAAACCTGCTGGGAGGGTGGGTGGGCGCAAATCTGTGAGTAAGCATTTGGCCTCGAGCCAACATGGCCACGTAGGCGGAAAGGGAAAATTGAAGCAGACTGCGTCTCTGGGTTGGCTCAAGGGCTGGGGCTCAAGCAAAGCACTGTGCCCCCTTGAATTCCCGAGGCGCTGCACCCCCTTGAATTCCCGAGGCACCGGCCCTCGTGCCCGAGGCCGGGGGCATTACAAATCTTTACCTCCACTGTGCCTAGCTCACCCTGGCGTACTATATACAATCTCGTATTGGAGTGCTCATGGCGAAACCCCCCCTTAAGCTTCCTTAGGGGGGGGGTTGGAAAACCACACTTTCATGGCCGAACTCGGTGGTTCTACTTTGTTGCGCCCACCCGCCGGCCCTCAAAGAAGCCTCGGCTCCGATTGATACTGCGCAAACTTCGTTATGCTTTCGCATCAATCTCCGCACAGCTTCTCACGCACATCCCTCCCACCACCCAGGCAAGAACCTTTTTGTCTCCAGATGCTGGGTGGTTGCACGCTCAGTCTCGCGTGCTTGAGGCCGCGGCGGCGGGTGGCGAGAGGGCAGCCGTCGCCGCCGCACTCGCACCTCCCCAACTGGCCTCAAGACGTGGAGCCTTCCGAACACGATGAGGGACTCGAAGCCGACGAGCTCGGTGCGGACGGACGCCTCCGGAAACAGCTTCGGCGCCGAGCGTCCCCCGGAAAGGTCTCCAGGGAGGCGTGCTTCGTGAAGCACCAGTGGGCGAACCTGACGCCGCATTTGGTCCTCCACAGCTGCGGGGGGACGTCGAGCCCCTCCACTGCGACCTCGTGGACCCGGAACCTCCTCGAGCCTCCGCCGCTGACGTATGGCTTGGCGGAGCCGGCGTCGAGTTTGGCGAGCCGCTCCTGCAGGGCGGCCAGCGCGTCCGCGACGTCCTGCTTCTGGGCAGCCACCTGGTCGCCAACCTTGATCACGTCGTCCTGCGCCTTGGTGAGGGACTCGATGAGCGAGCGCTTCTCCTCGAGAGCGATTACCTCCGCTGGGAGATTCTCCAAGGGCGCCTCGCGGATATAGCGGAGAACGGTGTCGCCGGCCCACCGCGCATGCAGCATGATCTTGTGCACCTCCATCCCTGCGATGGCCAACCTCTGGGCTCCCGTGACTCTGAAAGAATGCCCTCCAAAAGCCTTCGCGCCACTCGGGAATGGAGCGCCTCCGTAAGCCGCAACGGTGGCCTCGAGCGCCGCCACGATGTTGGCCTTCAGGCAGACCCCGCCAGTGCGGGTTGGGAAGAGCGGCAAGTCGTCATCGAAGCTCGGGCCGAACATGTCCCGGAGCATGCCCAACTGCTCATCTGCCGCGCAATACGGGCACAATTCACGAGACAGCGGGCTCGCGCACGTGCAACCCCATGTTCTCGTGCAGCCGACGGCCCGCGGGTCCCTTTTGGAGACTGGGAGCCTGAGGCTGACCTTGCGCTCGTCCCTGTTGAAGGTCACGTGGCCGACCTTGGCAAACGCCGCCTCGATCTCCCGCATGACAAAAATGGAGGCGACGATGAGGAAGTTCACCCGTCCCACGGGCGCGAGCGGCCCCAGGTGGACGCTGCCCTCGCGCACCGCCTTGACCGCTGCGTTGAGGTCGAAGGGCGCCGACTGTCTCGCAACGCCCAAGCCCCGGAGGACCGATGCCGTGGCCTTCCGCCGAGCAAGGTCCAGCTGCTCATCCCACGGCCAGCCGGCGAGGGTGTGGGCCTCCTTAGCCTTGGCCATGTACGCAGGGAACCCCCGGTAGCCCCCCTGCTTGAAGCAAGCGGCGACAGCGTAGACCGTCTCCGCGCTCAGCGGGAGGGCCGGCGTCGCTTCGCCAAACCAAGCCTGGTGGAACACCGACCAGGTTGCCCACAGCGAGTCGGCGGTGAGCTTGCTGCTGGCCGCTGAAGTGTCCTGCAGGAGCCTGGCGAGGACCTCCTCCTTCCCCTTGATCGTGGAGATGGCCGTGAGCACCTCTGCTCTGCAGGGGCGTTTTGTCGCCCTGACGTCTGGGAAATCCTTCCTGCTCTTACGAGGCACAAGCTCCGCGCCCGACGCGGCCGCAGAGCCGACCCTTGCCGACGCCTGCGACGCAGCGCGGGCGGCCGAGCCAACGCCCGCCCCGCCTCCTGAAGCGGCCGCGCGGTCGGCCCTCGCCGACGCGCGCGACGCAGCCGGAAGCTGTGCAGGAGCGGCGCCCGAGGCGGCCGCGGGGCCAGCCATCGCCGACGCCAGCGACGCAGCATGGGCAGCCGAGCGGGCGCCAGCCCCGGCCCTCGTAGCGGCCACGCGGTCAGCCCTCGCCGACGCGCGCGACGCAGCTTGGAGATGGGCTGACCCCTCCTCCCTCCCCCCCGGGGCGACTGCAAGGCCGGCCATCGCCGACGCGTGCAACGCAGCCCCGGCGGGCGACGTTGCGCCTCCTGCCGAGGCATCCGCGCCTGCGCTCACCGATGCTCGCGACGTGCTCGCTTTCGGCCTCTGCGGTGCACGGGCGGTTTCCCCCGGTCGCTGGCCTTTGCCATTGGCCTTGCCCTTCAGTACGGCCGCCCTCCGCGCCGGCCCGAGGGCTGCGAAGTCCGCCCCCCCTTGCCGAAGGCGGCCGGCCCACATGCACCTGCATGGGCCTCTGAGCGGCCGGTCAGTAGCGTTCGCGGCCATGCCCAAAAGAACGAGGGCGAGCGCTGCCGCGCACTGTCGCGCCTGGCCGACCTGAGCGAGCGCGGAATCGCCGCGCCCTGCGAAATCTGGCTCAGCGCGTCGCACTCGAAGTTCAGCGTGCCCGCAACGTGCTCCAGGCTGACGTGGACATTCGCGCTCTCGAACCGCAGCGCCAACTCCGCCGCGAGAGCATTCATGAGCGGCGTTCTCCCGGCCAGCCTGGCTGCGCTGAAGAGGGCCGCGGTGGCGTCCGTCTGGAGCAGCGCGAGCGCCTCGTCCTTGAGGCGCGGCATCCAGCAATCCACGGCAACCAGGAGCGCGAGCAACTCCCACTCGGCCTGCCACGCTGGGTCCCCGCGGGTCGCGTGGAGCAGCTCGAGGTCCGCGTCCGCCCACTCCTCGGCGATCCAGGCGCGCGGCGCCCCATCGACGAAGAAGATCGCGCCGAACCCGTACGGGGACGCGTCGGTGCGGATGCACGCCGACAGGTCGGCTAGGCGGGTTGTCGCAGTTGTCCATCTTTGGACTGTGATCGCCTTGCCCTCGCGGTCCCGGATGAGCCCGGCAAACAGCAAGCGGATCCAGGTGATCGCCTGCTGGATTCGCAGCAAGAAGAAGAGCTGGCCGGGCCGCTTCTTGGCCGAGAATCTCAAGGCCTGCGCGTTCTGCTCCTGGTCGTGCGCCGCCAACGCCGCCCACAGGCAGGCGTTGAACCCGCGAAGCCAAGGAAGTAGACCGCTGGCCCACGAGAGCTGGCCGGCGATCTTGCGAACCTCCTTGACGTGGACAACGCCCGTCGAGCGGTGGATCGCGTCGACGGCCTCGACGATCTCCCGGCACTTTTTCGGAGCCAGCGTGACCTGGAGGCCCCACGCGTGCCGGCGGCACTTCCGACACCACCGGCGCTGGAGCTCCAGTTGTGCCCCGATCCAGGGCACGGTCTGCCCGCGAATGGCCTTCTTCCAGTTGGGCCTGAAACCAAGCGCGGCCCAGAACAGGAGGAGCGCACCCAAGAGCCGCTTCCGCTGGTGCGGGGGGCCGCGAGTGCAGATCGCGGGGTCGCCCACAAAGCACTGGATTCTGAGCTCGTGCGGTTGGAACATCGCCTGGCCCAGCCTGCACGCAGCGGCGCCGACTCTGCCCCAAACCAAGGGGGCCGAAGCCATCCCGCAGCACAGGCGGCGGAAGACTGCCCAGCCAGCCGCCGTCTTGAAGACCATCTTCCCCCGGTCGGCTGCTCGGAGCGATAGGGTGTGGAAGGCGTCCTCGAAGTCCACCGTGCACAGCTCGTACCAATCCTCGTCCGGGTGCCAGTCGGCCCTGACGTCGATCTCCATGAGGTCGAGAACCGCGGCCGTGAGGTCCGACAAGCGGGGTAGGACCACGCGCTCTGGGAGGGCGACTCCCCCGTTGACCCCCGAGCGCAGTAGGTCGATGATGATGCGGGCTTTCGTCGAACCGTCCTCCCGCGTCTTGACGAGGAGCGCAACTTTGCTCGCCGTCGCATCGGGCCATCTGCTGCGTACCTCGTCCCAGTCGCGGATGATCTCGATGTAGCCGCGCTGCTCGATGCGCTGGACCTCCTGCTCCGCCAGAGCGCCGCCGTCGGTGTAGAAGCTGGCGTAGTTCTTGTGGAGGTCGTGCCTCCACTCCTGCGCGGCCCGGAGGGCAGCGAACTGTCTGGCCTTCTCTATGGCTGCGCTGGCATGGTCCACCGGCGGGAAGATGCCGCACGTGCGAACCTTCGACTCCCCAATGCCGGTCGGGCAACCGTGCCGGAGCCAGCCCGGAACTTCTGTCCCTGGATCTCCCGCCGCGTCCAAAAGTGACTTCCATAGCTGGTGGTCGAAAACGGTGCCGGGGTCCGAACGCGAAGCCCCGAACTCCTTCCGGAGCGCCTCCTGGGTGAACTCCACGGCCTCTTGGCTGGAGCCATTGCACTGGTCCGTGCCCATCTGGTCTGGTCGATGACCGAGACGACACTCTCCTTGAACGATGAGCGGTCGAGCACCTCGTCGAGGACCTTCCGGGCCCGGGCGCCCGTCCGCCTGAGCCCGACAGATCTGGCGACTGCCCGGTTGGGGGGGTTTCGGAGCCCACCAGGGGCCGCATTGTTTGCAGCCTCCCTGGCAGCCCTCGGTTCTGGAAGCGCCACGCCATCCGGAGGGCGTCGGGCAGCCCCGGTCTGCCCCGCGCGTAGGGCAGCGCTGTCGGTGACGACCTGGCTCCTCTCGCACCCAGCTTCGGCGACCTCGAAGTCCCTGACCTCGCAGTTCTCCTCCTCGTGCTCCTCCTCCTCCTCGTCCTTGACCCCCAGGTTCCCCTGCCCCTTGGCCTCGTGGATCCCCTGGCCCCAGGGGCTGGCTAGTCAAGTCGTTTTCTTGATGGTGCAGCTGCCGTTGGAATGCGGCTGGAGGCACCATTGGCAGACATGAGCCCGCCTGGACGGGCATGGCGCCGTGCACCCGCCTTTGTCGGGGCCGTTCGCGTACTTGAAGCAGATCTCCTGCCCCTCCCGCGTCGTAATGAACCGGCCCTGCTTGTCCTTCCTGGGGTGTGTCTCGCCCTTGCGGCTGCCCTTCGCTGGATTGCTCTCGCTCCCAACCTCCACCAGCTTCTGCTTCCTCTCCCGGCGCTTCTGGGAGACCGTCTTCTTCGCCGGGGGCTCCTGCGACGCTGCTGAAGTAGCGTCGTCGCCGTCCGTCTGGGGGCGCTTGTTCCTGGCGAGAAACCCCAGCGCCGGCCGCCGCACTTCGCGGTCCCAGTAGCGGTCGTCCAAGGCAGCCTCCTGGAAGACCTCGCTCCAAGTAGGCTTGCGCCGGTGTTTGTCCCGGAGCTTGCGCGCTACCCTGGCGAAGTGCTCCGCCCGGCAGCGGTCCTCGGCGCGCTGGCAAAGGTGCCGACACTCCGGGTGCTCCTTGCACAGCTGCTTGAAGGCCTCCCGGTAAGCGTCGATCGCGATTGGCGTAACCACGACCTCCGGGCGGCCGTCGCCCTCCGCAGCCGGCGGAAAGCGGAGCATGAGGAGGATGACCTCGTAGACGTCGAAGCACTTCTCCCAGACCTCGAAGCTCGCGGGCCCTGGTACCTCCATGGCTTTGTAGGAGCCGTCCTCCTGGAGGAACCAGCTCCGGTGGCGGAGGATCTTGGCCATGCGGCGGCCGTAAGGCGTGAGCAGCGAGAAGTCCGCGTACGGCTCCGCCTTCAGCTCCACAACGCGGGTGTGGAGCGCTGCGATCTGGTCCGGGGTCGGCTCGTGGTGCTCGAGCGGCTCCCCGTGCTTGATCTCGGCGTAGTTCTCGAACCATCGTGTCACCTGGTCCGTGTCGGGCGCGTTGATCTCCGTGTCGTCCGTGCTGTCGATGAGGTGCGCGAGCTTCAGCTTCTTCTTCGCATTGGTGGTCGCCGCCCCCCCCTCGGCCGGCCTGGCCTCCGAAGAGACCTTGGCCGTGCACAGCGCCACCGCTACCTTGTAGAGGAGGCGCGCGCCAGCCTTGGAGAGGAATGAGGCGCCCATCCACTCCTTGAGCGCCTCCTCGAATGCCTCCGGCGGGGACGCCGCCAGCAGGCGCGGCGGCGCCTGCTTGAAGTCCTGCACAGAGCTGAACCCCAAGACCTCGGACAACTGCGCCAAGGGCTCCTCCGCGAGGCCGGCCCAGGTGGCGATGGGCCCCACTGCCGTGGCCAGCCCAAGCGTGTTGATCTCCTCCTGACTCGGGAGTGCCGTCTCTGCCAAGGACGCCGCCATGGCTGCCGCAACCCAACCTGATACAAGGGATCGCAGGACGGCACAGTCGAGGAAGAGAAGTCGCAAATCTGTGAGTAAGCATTTGGCCTCGAGCCAACAAGGCCACGTAGGCGGAAAGGGAAAATTGAAGCAGACTGCGTCTCTGGGTTGGCTCAAGGGCTGGGGCTCAAGCAAAGCACTGTACCCCCTTGAATTCCCGAGGCGCTGTACCCCCTTGAATTCCCGAGGCACCGGCCCCCGTGCCCGAGGCCGGGGGCATTGCAAATCTTTACCTCCACTGTGCCTAGCTCACCCTGGCGTACTATATACAATCTCGTATTGGAGTGCTCATGGCGAAACCCCCCCTTAAGCTTCCTTAGGGGGGGGTTTGGAAAACCGCACTTTCATGGCCGAACTCGGTGGTTCTACTTTGTTGCGCCCACCCGCCGGCCCTCAAAGAAGCCTCGGCTCCGATTGATACTGCGCAAACTTCGTTATGCTTTCGCAAAATTGAGGTTCACTATGTAATTTGCAATGGTTCACTGTTGGTTCACTGATGGTTCACTGTAGGTTCAGTATGGTTTTTATGCATGTTTGCACATGTCCAACAATGCCGCGCGAGCGGCATCCATGGACAGGATCCGCCGACCCCGCCCAGAGGTGCAGGGGGCGCGCCAGGCGCGCCAAGTGCGCCGCGTGCGACAGGTGCGCGGCACGCGACAGGTGGGCCACACGCGCCAGGTGAACGGGGCGCGCCCAAGTGCGACAGGTGCGCAGACGACGCCAGGTGCAACGAGCTCCCCAACTGAGCAGCCAGGCGGCGGTTTACGATGCCCCCGAAGACCCCGACGGTCCGCATTGCGTTTTTCTCTGTAGCCTGTCGGCTCAGCGGGGCGGGGGCTGGCCCTGGCCGGGTCGCGCGGGGGGATGGCGCTCTCGGTGGACAGGCCAGAGAAGCGCCGCAGGCTCGTGGGGAAGCAGAGCCAGCAGACGGCGCTCCTCGAGCACGTCGTCGGCGAGGAGAACAGGAACGCCTCGCGGGAGGTCTACTTGGTGACTCTGCCGCACACGGACAAGGAGGGTCTCAGAGCGCCAGCGGCTTTCTCGCGGGAGGAGGTCCGCGACGCTTTCCTGGATTGCTGCGGCGCTCCGGACGCCGACCCCGCGTGGCTCGCAAGCCACCGCGGGCAGGGGGCCGCGCCCGTCGGGGTCAAGAAGCTGGTGGTATTCAAAGAATACCACGCGCCAGTGGCAGGCGTCCGGCGGGCGCACTACCACGTGGCCTTGCACCTGGGCAAGAAGAGCAAGTTCCTGACCGTGAAGCGGGCCTTGCTCAACAGGTACCAACTCGCCTCTCACTGGTCCTGCAGCCACGACGGGCACTGGTCGGCCGTCGGGTACTGCGCGAACGCGACGCCCAAGAAGCCGCGGAGCGCCCTGGACGTTGACTACTTGGCTTGGCCCGCGGACCACCCGCCGCTGTCCGCGGCGAAGAGGGAGCCGACGACCGCCCGCGCTTTGGAGAAGCGCAGGACCGCGCGGGAGCAGGTCGAGGGCGAGAAGGGGAAGCCAGAGCCTCGCGTCGAGGAAGTGGACCTGTGGCCGATAGTGGTCAGGTCTGGGATCCGGAATACTCCGGACGACCCCCACGCAGTGCGCAAGTTGATGGCGTACGCTAAGACGTCCTGCTCGCACAAGGTGGTTGCCTGGATGTTCAAGAACGAGCACGTGCTGGAGAAGATCATCGACAAGGCCTGGGCGTGGGAGAACGTGGACAGCTTCCTCGAAGACGCGACGAAACCCGTCATGCAACAGTTCAAGGAGGCCTTGCGGACGCCTTGCGTTTGCGGCGGCCGCTGGTTGCACCACGTCCGCGAAAGCCTGTCGATGAATCGCATCGACGTCCCCGACCTGTGCAGCAGCATCTTGATGTCCCTGAAGCACGGTCGGTCCGAGGCGGCCCCGGTGGTCACCTTGGCTGGGCGCTTCGGCGGAGAGGGAAAGTCTCTTCTCTTCTCGGCGGTTCGGCCGCTGTTCGGCGGTGAGCACGTGCAGGAGAGGCCAGGCGGGGGGCAGTTTTGCCTCCACGGCTTGGACAAGGCCAAGGCCGCGGTGCTGGACGAATGGATGTTCATCGATGAGGACCTCCGCCTGTCCATCCAGCTCCTGTGGCTGGAGGGCAAGCCCGTGCCCATCACCATGCCCCAGAACCAACACGTCGGGCACAAGGTGTACATGGGGTCCGCCCCGATTTTTGTCACCTGCCCCGAGACGGCGCTGGCGGGCCTCTCGTCCGAGTCGTCGCAGCGCCCGCAGGGGCAGGCTGGCATGCTGCTCCGGCGGCTGAAACTGTATTTATTCACTGTGCCGATTCCCAAGCCGCCGGCCCCGAAGCTAGTGCCGTGCCCGCGCTGTTTCTCGACCCTCGTCACAAGCGAGGCTCTTAAGTTCAAGCCCAAGTAGTCCTGCCGCGTGCGATTGGGGTCGCTGCGCGCAGACATCATCACCATCATCGCCATCATCACTGTCGCCATTATCGTCGTTGCCACACCTCGTTGCCCCATCGGGAACTCCACGGAAGGCCCCGATGGCTGACTCCGCATGCCGCGCCCCGACAATTTCGGCAGACCCCTAGAGCGTTGCACGACCGCCACGGGCACGTCGTGCTTCTGGCCCGGCACGACTCCGACCATCACCGTCGACGATGCCAGTGCTGTCGCCTCTGGGCCCGTCCGTCAGTCCGCGTGGAGCCTCTTTGGGGGTCGTCTTGGAGCCCCCGTGGATCTTCGCAAGGCCCCCCTGGAGGCCCTCTCGGGCGAGGTCTACGACAGAGGGCCCCCGCTGCATTCCGTTAAATTCCATTCACTCCCAACTCCTCCGCAGGCCCCCCACTCCTTCCCAGTCCTCGCCACTCCCCTGCAGTCGTCCGCACCCCACCGCACTCCGCCAACAAAAATTCCGAAACCTCTCATTCCTCCACGCCCCTCCGCACTATTCCCAACTGCTCCACGCCCTTCCGCACTCCACCCGAAACCTCCGCAACCGCCCCACTCCCCCCCACCCCTCCGCACTCCTCCCGAACCTTCCGCAACCGACCCATTCCCCCAGACCCCTCCGCAATCTTCCCAGAAACTCCGCAATCCTGCCATTCTTCTCACCCCTCCGCACTCTTCCCGAACATCCGCAACTCTCCCCTTCCTCCACACCCCGCCGCATTCTTCCCAAAACCTCCGCAAATATCCCATTCTCCCACATTCCTCCGCACTCCTCCCGAAACCTCCGGAGCCCTTCGAATTCGTTCCGCCCCTCCGCACTCCTCCCGAACATCCGCGATCCGTCCCATTCCCCCCCACCCTGCGCACTCCTCCCAAACCTTCCGCAACCGTCCCAGTCCTCCACACCCCTCCGAACTCTTCCCGAAACCTCCGCAATCCTGCCAGTCTCTCCACCCCTCCGCACTTTTCCCGAACATCCGCAACTCTACCATCTCTCCACATCCCTCCGCACTCCTCCCAAAACCTCCGCAACCCTCCCATTCCCCCACATCCCTCCGCACTCCTCCCGAAACCTCCGCAACCCTTTTATCATTCCACATCCCTCTGCACTCCTCCCAGACACCCGCACCTCCCCCATTCCTCCAGGCCCCTCCGCACTCCTCCCGAAACCTCCACAACCGTCCCATTCCTCCACATCCGTCCGCACTCCCCCCGAAACCTCCGGAGCCCTTCCATGTCTCCCCACTCCCCCGCACTCCTCCCGGGACATCCGCACATATCCGCACCTCCCCCATTCCTCCACACCCCTCCGCACTCCTCCCGAAACTTCCGCAACCCTCCCATGCCTCCACATCCCTTCGCACTCCTCCCAAACCTTGTGAAACCGTCCCATTCCTCCCCACTCCTCCGCACACCTCCCGAAAGAGACCTCCGCAACCCTCCCATTCCTCCACGCCCTTCCGCACTCCTCCCGACACCTTCGCAACCCTTTCATCCTTCCACATCCCTCCGCACTCCTCCCAAACCTTCTGCAACCGCCCCATTCCTCCCCACCCCTTCCGCACTCCTCCCGAAAGAGATTTCCTCCACCATCCCATTCCTCCCCACCCATCCGCACTCCCCCCGAAACCTCCGCAACCCTCCCAGTCCTCCCCACGCCTCCGCACTCCTTCCTCACCTCCCACAACCGTCCCATTTCCCCTCAACCCTCCGCACTCCTCCCAATCCTGTGGGGTTCTCCCATTCCTCCAGACCCTTCCGCACTCCTCCTGAAACGTCTCACCCCTTGCCCCAGCGTCTTACGCCCAGGAGCGGAACCTCCATCTTCCTCCTATTCCTTCTCCTCGTTCTCCTCCCCCCCTCCTCCCTCCTGTTCCTCATTCCTCCTTGAGGGTTGTGGGTGATGATGATGCTGCTGCTGATGATGCTGATACTGATGATGATGATGATGATGATGATGATGATGATGATGATGATGATGATGGTGGAGATGATGCCGCCGATGAGGGCGATTATGATTGTAATGCTGACGTTTGTGGCATCTGTACAGTCTCCTCCTCTCCCTCCTCCCTACTCCCACCTGCAAAACAAGATGGGGGACCGTACATGGACATTATATTCGAACCCTGTGGCCCAAGATGCCCCCCCGAACCCCCGAATTTAATATTGATGGCGTGGCGACGGGGGGGGCGTGAGTGGACAGAAATATTCGAACCCCAAAGCACCGCCTTTGCTGAGATCAACATTGATGTCGGGGGCACGGGGGTGATTCAGAATCTCCCTCGAATGTGTGAGGGTTCGAATATATTGTCCATCTACTGGAGCAAACGCGCAACTGCGACGAGGCCTCTGGCCCACGGCCCAGGCGCGGTAGCGCGGTGGGCTGAAGGCAGTTTTACAAACAGCCGATGCAAATTCGCGGCGGTGGCGGCGGTCCCGAACATTAGGTGCACTTCGCAAAAGACGGATTCGGCGACGGCGGCCCGCCCAGAGACTGGGTGGCGTGGAGGCTGAGTAGACCAGGTG